TAAAATGTCAAAGTAAATATCATGCAGAATACAACAAGGAGATATAGTAGCTACAGGCAATATAGCCTGGTCCCTCACAAAATCATACCCAGAAGTCCAAAACATCATTGGAAAAAAACAAATATGGCTGGGCCAATAAGTCCTAGTGGAAATGGTTAACAGTACATCATGAGACATGACTCCATTTTTATAAGTGTTTAAATTCACTAATCAAGGCAAAATAGGCACTATGTAAACAGAATCGTTAATAAGTCACACCTAGAAAAATACAGCCCATCTGCATAAATAGAAATTTGCATAGTTTTCTATTTGTTCTCTCTATGAATTGTTCTCATTTGGTGCAATTTGTATCTCATCTTCCTCTAATACATCTTCAGGGGATTTAATACAAACAAGTTTGAAGAAGCCACCTAATAATACCTCTATTTGTCATCTGGACTAGCCAACCATCATTCCCCCAGACAGAAAGGCCTAAACTATTAATCAGTTAGTCTTTGAAAGTGAGTCCTTAAATTTGCCCTCTCATTTTGGGGTACAGCTCAAGGGTAATTAATATGTATCCTTCCAACAGGCTATTTATTCAACGGTTTACTTTGAAAATTGCCCGGTTGGAATTTGGAGTTTTTTTCAAGACCACTTTGTGACATTTTCCTCTCAATCTGTTTTAAACTGAAGGTTTCCACATGGCTCTGGATATCACTCACAGTTTTACTATCATTTCAGGAAAAGCTGCCCTTGCCTGCTCCCACTGTGAGCTAGCTCCTTCCAAACTCCACATCGCACAGAAAATTCCTTCCAGATTTCTCTTCAGCTTGTCAAACACTCTTCAAATAAGTGGCCAGTCTACAAAATTAGAAAGAAGGCTTGTGAGAAGTAGAAAGTCAACCAGGTGCCAGGAGAAGTAGAAAGTCAGAGGAAGTTGTAATGGTGGCTCAAGCAGCATCAAGAAAAAAGAGCATGAGGGATCACACAAACACACATGCACACACATTCTCTGCTGCATTTCCAAGAGACTCAAAATCTTTTATGTTAAAGTCATATACAAGTTTACACTCTCGTGTGTGTGTGTGTGTGTGTGTGTGTGTGTGTGTGTGTGTGTACATAGAACCATTGCTGGACCTTGAACTCAGGATCACCGTGCTACCCCTTAGTTTTTTTGCTAAAGGCTGGTGCTCTACCAGTTGAATCACATCTCCACTTATAGCTTTTTGGTGAGTAATTGGAGATAAGAGTCTCAAAGACTTTTCTGCCCAAACTGGCTTTGAACCACTACCCTCACATCTCAGCTTCCTGAAGAGCTAGGATTACAGGCATAAACCACCAGTACCTGGTTCACTGTGTATTTTTTTTGTTCTAGCCTTGGGGCTTGAACTCAGGACCTGGATGATGTCCTGAGCATTTTTGCTCAAGACTAGCACTCTACCACTTGAGCCACAGCTCACTTTCAGCTTTTTGGTAATTAATTGGAGATAAAAGTCTTGTAGACTTTCCTGCCCAGGCTGGCTTTGGAATGCCATCCTCAGATCTCAGCCTCCTGAGTAGCTAGGATTACAGGTGTGAGCCACCAGACCCAACTTCACTTTATCTTTTTTTAACTATCAAAGGCACCGCACTATTGCAGGCAGGTTGTCTCTGTGGTGCATACACTCCCCCTCCCATCACCAATCATTTCCTATAGAAAGAGAAGACAGTCTCTTCTGGCTCCTGCTCCCACTTCTCTAACACTGATCACAGAACTTACACATGCTGAGCAGACTGGCCTTAAATCCAGTTATCCTACATACATGCTTATGTACATGAAAATCAAATGATACTGACACTGGGTTTTCTGTATTTCAGTGTACTAGATAGTTAGTTCCTTAAAGTAGGTGCTACTTATTTGCTTTTTCCTATCTCTGCTCCATGGTACCTAAAATGTACTAGTCACCTAGTATCAACTAACCTGAATTGGCTTTTTAAAGGAAGTCGGTATACTTCAGGGGGAATAGGCATTGATAAAAGAGGGGAAAGAGGCATAAGTAAAGGTTTAATGAGCTATAACAGATGGAAGCGTTACCAGGTAGAAGTGTTTTTGGATGTTGGCGCAAAGGCAATCTAAGGCCAGATATTGAAATCACACTAAGAAATACATGTGCCTAAAGAAAACTTACCCTACAAGTTTGCTGGCCCTTGTAACACAAATTTCAAAGTACAAGTATTAGGGTTTTTTATCTTAACAACTGCAAAAGTAAAAGGAAAGAATGGCTCTCCAAGGATGTCTATGGTCTAATCCCCAGAAACGACGAAAATGTTACATTGGCAGATGTTAGCTAGGATATAAATCTTAAGCTAGGAAGAAGACCTTGAATGGACCAACTGGGCTCAATCTCATCACATATCTCCTCAGAAGCAAAAGACCTTTTCCAGCCATAGTCGGTGAAAATGTTACAACAGAATAAAGGTCAAAGTGATACAATGCTGTTAGCTTTCAAGATAAAGGAAGGAAGCCATGATCAAAGAATGTATACAGCCTCTATAAGCTAGAAAAAGGAAGGAAACAGTGTCCTTTCAGAACCTCCAGAAGGGACCCTAGCCTTGCCAAACCACAGAAGTGTCATATTATGACCAAAAATGGCCCCTCTCCCCTTCCCCACTTGGCTGACTTTTCCTATATTTTGAGATTCAGCACAAATTTTCTCTCCTCTGAAAAAAATCATTTTATTCATATCTTCTAAAATTTCTGTAATCCTAGCCATTAAGGAGGCTGAGATTTGAGGGTCATGGTTCAAAGTCAGCCCAATCAGGAAAGTCCTAGAGATGCTTATCTCCAATTAAACACAAGAAAACTGAAAGTGCCATTGTAGCTCAAAGTGGTAGAGCTCTAACCTTGAGCAAAAGAGCTCAGGGACAGTACCTAGGCCCTGAGTTCAAGCCTCACAACTGAACAAAGACTAAAAACTAAAAAATAAACTGAGAATAAACCTGCCTTCATGTTATTTCTTTTAAGAAAGAGTAAGACAACCTGGTGTGCTGGTACAAATTTGTGATTCCACCACTTGGAAGTTAATGCCAGGAGTATTGAGAGTTCAAGACCAACCCTGGGCTACATAGTAAAACCTCTGCCTAGAAGAGAAAAGAGAAGGATGAGGAAACAGAGGAGGAGGAAGAGTAGGAAAAGGAGTACTCAGTGAGGCCCAACCATATGCATATCCATAAACTCTATTCTATGGATGGATGGAGACAGAGTAAGAGTATGAGAGAAAGAGAGTTCATAGAATAGCAGAGAGGCCTGAGGAGATAAGGCCCTCCCGCCAATAGTAACATGACTGAGCCATCTCAGAACCAGACTCCCAAACCTTCAGATAAAGATGCAGTCAAATCTTGACTTCCACCTCATAACAGTCTCTGAGCCAGAACCACACAGCTAAGCTACTCTCAAATTCCTAACTATAAAACCTATGGAGGCCAAGCACTGTTAATCCGAGCTACTCAGGAGTCTGAGATCTGAGGATCGAGGTTCAAAGCCAGCCTAGGTAGGAAAGTTCATGACTCTTATCTCCAATTAACCACCAGAAAATCAGAAATGGTGCTGTGGCTCAAGTGGTAGAGCACTCGCAACACACACACTCACACACACACACACACACACACACACACACACACACACACACACCTATGGAGATAGGATTTGAGCCACTAAGCTTTGGAATCTTTCATTTTACAATAACAAATAACCCATACTCATATAAGATGCAAATCCCTACAGGAGAAGTTACAAATTGGAAGTCAGGATCCAGACTTAGGCTACAAATACATTCTCCTCACCTCATAATATTAGGTATTTTTAATAATCCAAAATTTAATAAGTATCAGATTTCATTTAGGGATGTAGATTGCCATGCTTTCTCACAATTTTGGGAGATCTGCCAATGCAAAGCCATGCACCGCTCCAACAACCATCAATGAAGCTGAGGACCAGCTTCCCACTACACCCAAGGCCACCAAAGTCCCATCTCCTTGTACATCCCCAGGCTGATACAAATGGTCATTGTTACTTGCATAGTGTTTGTATCACTATTTCTTTTATAGGTAATATCTCAAAGTATCCATGTCTCTATCAAACATAGAAAGTAGAAGAAATACCAAACTGAATGTAAAAGCTAAGAGGAAGCTTATTTCTTGGTGAGAGTAGAAAATATTCCTGAATGTCTAATATACTTTTGGTGAATGCCTGTGTCAAATACTTATAATCAAAAATTCCCTTCTTCTTTTCCAAGTAGCTTTGTTCATTTAGATTGTTCTAGTGAGCTCGCTAAACTTCTTTCTTCTCCGGTCTGTGAAACAATGCTAAGGTAAATTACATGAGTTTCTAAATATGGCCCTTCAAAATGTTAAAGACAGCATCCAACATAATAATATGTTTGTTATTAGAAGATTCTTACTTATACAGTCTGACTGGGCTTAAATTTCTTACTGTTGACTCAAATTGTGTCTGATTATAACCACATCATCTATTCAATGATAACCCCACGTAACAATGCTTACTGAGTTATAGATATACATATATACATATATATATATATATACATTCACACATATATCTTTTACTACTACTACTATATCTATGGGACCGAGAAAACTTTAGGGCATATGAAACATATGATTTATCACCAGCTTTTATAAATAAAGTTATTTGGACCCAGTCCCATTCATTCATTCATGTACTGTCTATGACTGCCTTTGTACCATAGTGGTTGAGCCGAGTGGTTGTGACAAAGACATCATGACTTATAAACTAAATTTTGTAACTTTTGAATCTAGATAACCCCTTAATAAAATACGAACATTTGGTGGTGACCAGTGAACTTAACATTTACTGGGCTTCTGTAGAACACAACATGGGAAAGGTAAAGCCCTTCTCTCTCCAGAACATTTGTCTATAATTCATAGCTAATGACTTTGAAGCATTCTTTACCTTACACGTAGACCAGAACAGTTTCCTAAGTTGAAAATTGACTCACTGTGGCTAGTTTCTGAACATCTTCATCTGATGCTCCCAGAGAAGCCAAGCCTATTTCTTGTGAAAATTGAGCAAACTTAGGATCCGCAAGTAGTGGAACGTGTCCCAAGAGTTCATGGCATGTGTCTCTGACAAGAGAAAAGATCACAAAACATGTTATATAAGAGCCTTTAAACCACCACTAGTAGAACAAGACTTGCATTTCTAAACATAATTTTGTTGCTATAACTAATGTGCTCATCATCCTTTAACACCTCCAAAAAATCCAGCTGCATGTTATGATGTCAACTTTAAGTTGTGGTTTTAGGTTTTAGAGTTTGGGTTGGTAGGATGGTTGGTTGGTTGGTTGTTGTCAGTTGACATTATGTAGTCCTGGTCAGCCTCAAACTTGCAATCCTCCTTCCTCAGCCTTCCAGATTCTGGGATTACAGGTCTGCTCCAGTATGCTCAGCCTTCAGCACTTCTCTTTAAACACCCAGAACAATATGGGTATAATTCCCAACATCTTGTAGTTGTTATCAAGATGGCCTTGTTATGTAATCCAGGCTGGCTTCAAAGCTTCAAATTCTCAATCTTCCTGCTTCAGTCTCCTACTAAACTGTTGAATTGTAGGTATGAGTCCACATCACAGTTAAGCTACTATTATTTTCAAGTGTTTTCTATAGGCTAGGTACATGGTGTTTTATGATAGATAGATGATAGGTAGATAGATAGATAGATAGATAGATAGATAGATAGATAGATAGATAGATAGATAGATAGGTAGGTAGGTAGGTAGGTAGGTAGGTAGGTAGATAGATAGATAGATAGATAGATAGATAGAATCTTTTAATCATTATGACAGCCTTAAAAATTCAGGTTATTTATTAATATGAGATCAAAATGGGCATTGGTCCAAGACTTGTGCATTGCTTATTTCTGTAAATATAGTTTTCTTGGAACATCATTATGCCCATTTGATTCTGTAAGGCCTGAAGGCACTGCAGAATTGAGGAACGGAGACCCTAGCACCTGCAGATTTGAAAATATCTACTTGAAGGCCTTTTACAGAAAATATTTGCTGCTTCCAGCTCTAAGTAGCATTACATTAAACTCAACATAGGCCTGAGGATGTATCTGATCTTGAGTCTTTATGTAATGAACTGCAACCTGACATGTAACTGGAAGTCTAATTTAGAAGTATACTCTTGTAACAAATTGCTGAGTCTTAGTCAATCACTGCAGCTGAGTTTCAAACACAGGTGGCTAGCTGATTTAAATAAGGTTTTTAAACTGTCTCTATATACGTCACTGCATCTTGTGCCCATAAATGTTATCTAAACACATGGTAGTTCCAGATTCCTTAACTTGATGTCATTCTTACATGTTCTGTCCAATTCTGGAACTTAAAAAAAAAATTCAGTTAACATTTTAAAGCAATTTTATTGTAATTTTGTCTTTTGACCACCATGATGAAATCCAAAGTAGGATTTAGCTTGTCATGATGTTTTTAAGCATTTGTTCTGAATCCTTAAATCATGCTGTATTGGGCTTTGGAAAGCACTGGGAAAGAGCAGAGGATCATTTTGTCATCATTAAAGTGGCTTTTCCCTGGAAGGTGTATCTGCTTTAACATGAGCAACTCCTTGGAGAGTACCCTTGGAAGAATCTCTAGTCCTTGGCTCTGGAAGCCCAACCAGGTACTATAAAAGCTTGGAACCTCCCCTGTTTGCTGGCCTTCATTTTTGGAGCTGGGTAAGTGGGCAAAGCATGGGTATGTGTCACAACAAAATGAATCATTGCTGCAAATTATTGTTCCCTGCTACCAACCTATATTGGGATGACTTCACTTCTGTCTCTCTCAGCATGATGAATCATTTTATTAACATGACAAAAACATACTAATTAGCCAGATAGAAATAGATAGATGTTTCTGATTTCATCTGTGATGCTCTAAAGTGCATCACTTCAGATAGGAAGTAAGTATGGTGGTGAGATGCACAGAATTGATCAATACTCATATAAGATAGATGATATAACTCAGTTTGTTTCCACAATTCACATTACATTCCCAACCTAGGCCAACCACTTCATAGACCCACAAGGTTGAATGCACAGTCAGGTAAAAAATAAAATGTGAAAGAAACTCCAAGTTCATCCTCTGACAACTATATGTGAATAGTCTCTTCCTTTACACAGAAACTGAACTTGGAGAAAAGATTATATAATTGGTTATTCTCTAAGTACATTGAGAGAGAGAAAAAAAGAGAGAGAGGGAGGGAGGGAGAGAAGCAAATTCACTGGGATCAGAAACTTAAGGAGCATTTAAGTGTTAGTCAAAAAGGACATAGCAAGCACAGATTGGGAGAAAACCTTCACTAGCCATACAACAGACAAGGGTCTCATATCTAAAATATACTTAGGACTCAAAAAATTAAATCCCCCAACAACAAATCCTCAAAGATACAACCGCCTGATTAATAAATGGGCTAAAGACTTAAAAAGAGACTTCTCTGAAGAGGAAATAAGAATGGCCAATAGACACATGAAGAAATGCTCAACTTCTTTAGCTATAAAAGAAATTCAAATCAAAACAACATTGAAATTCCACCCTCAAGTTAGAATGGCTAGAATCAAGAAATCTAATAACAACAGATGCTGGAGGGAATGTGGCCAAAAGGGAACCCTACTGCATTGTCGGTGGGAATGTAAACTTGTTCAACCACTTTGGAAAGCATTATGGAGGTTCCTCAAAAGACTAAACATGGAGCTCCCCCTATGACCCAGCAATCCCACTTTTGAGCATTTACCTAAATGATCACAAACAAGACCATACTAAAGATACCAGCACAACTATGTTTATTGCAGCGTTATTCACCATAGCTGAGATACGGAACCAACCCAGATGCCCCTCAGTAGATGAATGGATCAAGAAAATGTGAGATACACATACATACAATGGAACTCTATGCCTCCATCAGAAAGAATGGCATTGCCCCATTTGTTAGGAAATGGAAAAACTTTGAAAAAATTATATCAAGTAAAGTAAGCCAGACTCAAAGAAACATAGATCCCTGGTTTCTCTTGTCTTCAATAACTAGTATATGTTTAAGACAAGCAAAAGAGGTCAAAAGCTATGTACATATGACCATATAACCTGATGTTAAGTGAACTGAGCCCCAAGATAGGGACACAAGAGATTTTGTCTTTGTTCTTGTTCTTTTTAATGTACTTATAATGTAGTATGTGATTTTTTTTGTTTCTTTGTAAGTTCTTCCCCCATGGTATAACCCCTGTTGTATCTAATTCTGGTGTCCTGCACCTTGTATATACATTTTTCTAATTTGGGGAGGGGGAGGGAAATAACAGAATGCTGAAATAAGGATATAGGATGAGCCATTGTAACAATGAGATGTACAAGACAGTATGTTGAAACAAACTTTACAACTCTGCGAGGAGGGGTGGAAAGAAAGGGAATAGTTGGAGAGGTGAGGAGGAAAGGGATGGTAGGGGGGAAAAAAGGAGGGTGTAACAATGCTGGATAGGAAATGGACTCATTACCTTGCTCATATAACTGTAACCCCTCTGTACAGTATCTTTACAATAAAAAATATATATTAAAAAAAGTGTTAGCCAAGTCCTTTTTTTTTTTTTACAAACCCTCCTTTATTGAGAGGGAGGCTGAAAAACTGTAATAACTAAATACATGGGGAGTCCCCTGGATCCCCCCCACCGGCTGTGGTGGGGAGGGCAGGGAATGCCAGGAGCTTCCTGAAGGGCCATAGATGGGGAAGAGGTGAGGCATCTCAGCCCAGGCACACAGGACTCAGGGTCAGGAAGCAGGAGACGGGTAGAACCCTCTGAAGATGGGGGCCGGGCCCCCCAAAAAGGCACAAGGGCAGGGCAAGTTTGGCAGTGTGGTTAATGTCAGGGGTCAACAAAGGACATACTGAACTACTGTGTACTAGGTAAGTAGTAAATATTTTCATATCACATTAGTCATTTAACCATGTGAAATACATTTTGTTACACATGTTTAAGGAGAAACTGAAATTCATCCATTTCAAGGATTTGAAATCAAATCCTTCTGGTTCAAAAATAAATGCGTCCTGCTCTCATTTTAATTTGTAAATACAGCATAAATGAGAAGGGGCCAAGGCTTAGGCTACAGGGAAAGAATCTAACCAAGTCAGTGAACACAAGTAAATATATCATCAGTGTTTCCTAAGTCTCTTTCTGAGAACTCAGTTCTCAGAAAGTGTTCCCTTCACATCACTTGAGAAGCCTTTTAAAAATACCAAATGGCTAGGTTCCACTTAAGACCTATTCAATCAGTCTCCCTGAGATAGATCTCAGTGTCTTTTTTTAAAGATCCCCAGGGGAAAATAAGACATAGGCAGAATTGAAATTCACTTCTACAACTGATGACAGTGGTAAGGGAGCTATCCTAGCAGGCTTTCAGCAATGGGTGCTTAAAACTACAGGTTGACCCATTGTAACAATGCAATGTACAAGACACTATGTTGAAAACGAACTTTACAACTTGGCGTGGGGGAGGTAGGGAGGGAAGGGATGTTAGGGGAAAAACAAAGAAGGAGGTACCAATGCTCAATAGGAAATGTACTCATTACCTTACTCATGTTCTGTAACCCCTCTGTCCGGTATCTTTACAATAAAAAATACATTAAAAAAAAAAAAAGAAAATGTAAAAAAAAAAGGAAAAAGAAATCTCAAAAAAACTAAAACTGAATGTGCTTGTGTAATTCTGAACTGCCTATTTAATTCCACCAAAATTGTATCATATGATACTGAAGAATAATGAAAAGTGATGACTGAACAGTAAACAGAAAACTAATTACTCTTCAACATGCATATAACTCAATTACAAAGGTCATACTTCTGTATTGGGAGTGGATCCTATAAACTCACTCTTGGATTCAATTTTTTAGGTCATGTGGCTTACACTAATGTCTGGCTCACCATGGGAAAATCTCAATACTGTCCTCTTAGACCTTAATGTAAATTCTAAAGCACCCCTACTAATCCTGGAAGAAATATATGGCAGTAATTAATTCCATAAATAGCCCAGATAGCTAACTCGAGGAAAACACTAAAACTGGTATTAACTCATAATATAAATAAACAAGAT